TTTGGATCAGGACTATTTTCCAACTTTTATAAACTTTTCTAAAAATGGTTTTGAAGACTTTAAGGTCTTCTTGAGTCAAGAAAATTAACGTGCAGGGAGCTAGAAATAGAAAAGAACAGAAAGAACTGTAGTCAGTTCACCATGTTACCTCCCTTACTGCATTTACAATAGCTTCAAGTGTGTACCTTGTGCCATACTGTAAACAGGACAGTATTTACTAGCTTTGATAATATATGTGGTGTGAGCTGAATACGGAGTATTCTTTTCACAGTATAATGTGAAGTCCCCCAAAACGGAAATGCCTACAAGACTTATCAGAGTTCATTTTCATGATTATATATAAATATAATTACCCGCATAGCATTTTATTTATTTGTGATCGATGAAAATGCACACATTATACTGTTCTACAATTACAAAGATCCAACATTCAGGTCAATGGTACCTAAAGTCCCATTAGGTTGAGATGGGTGCAGACCTAACCTTCTAATGGAATGAGTGTACTCAAATCATGCCCAATAATATCACTGAACCACCTTCAGTGCTGGAACCAAGCGCTTAGGGCTTAATGCACAGATATCACATTCATGGGGTATGCACTTCCACTCACTGGCACCCTTTGTTGATGATGCCTTTCCCTCAGAGTTCTATGATAATATCACCTTAGATTTTAGACAATGTTGCTTGAGCAACATAAGCAATGACAGCTTATGCCAGCATAACACTATGAAGAGTCCACTCAGAAAGAAGTGCTCTACCATTCCTATATCATATCATATCATCTGGCTTCTGGACCAGAGATCAAGAGTAACACAGACAAAAGTTGCCAACCCAAGAAGAGAAGTATAAGAATTAAGAATTTAATTAGACATGGTCTTATGGGCTGGCGCTAAATAGTTTGGATTCGAGGTATTACAGAATATCTTTAATGAAGCACTTTCCAAACAATGTATGACATTGAACAAAAGATTGGTTCAGATTCAAGAATCAGTTGATGAGGACATATAGAGTTGTATGTCCTGAATAACTACAGCAGGGCATGGCTCTTGATACATGGATAAAGAAACCAGGGTGGGATGTAGTAACTGAAAACAGAAGAAATGTAAGTGTCAAATGCAAAATGCTACATTTTCTAATACAAACCAATAAACCCTCTACAAACACAACCCTCTCTTTGGTGGCACGTAAATGAATGATAGATCATAATAAACGTCAAGATTTATTTACGTCTTTAAATGAATAAATATTATACTGTAGAGTGACTAGCAGTGTTTGCAAATTGAAGGCCAATTTGATTTATCACCGCATACAGAACCTGTGGGCAGAAAACAGCTGTAAAAGCAAACTGAACATAGAAAAATCATCTTGTGCACAAAATTACACTGCTACTTCCATGAATAATGTTGCCTGAAGATTTGTGTTAGCTTCAGGAGTTAATGACAAAAGCTAAAGCTAACACGGTCCTGTGTACATTGCACTAGCAATGTCAGCATTTTATGCCAACAGATCTACATTTAGTCTGTTACACATTTGTTTTAAAACAAAAAGATCACAATTTCAAAACAACCTTGAATACAGTTTTTGAGTTGTCCAAGCAGGCTATGGTTTTGAAGACTTTAAAGGCCTCACAAATCATCCATGCTTTTACTAATTAGAGAGAAAACAGGGGCATTTTATACTTCATCCTTGTAAAAATACATTTTCAACAGAACAATTCATATACATGACTTCCCTTCATACTGTATATGAATGCAGTTTGAAAAGAATGTTCCTTGTATAGGACAGTCTGCTGTGGATGAATGTACAAAGGGCTTTCAACGTTTCCCTCAATATCTTCTGGCAAGATGTAGTAATACAAGATCTTGGATCTCAGATGCCATGATCTTACTTTGCTGTGGTCGCAAGTCTGAAGGTAAGATTTTGCTAGATGCTAACAAAACAAATGGGGAGTTTGCTCTCTTGGTCAGTGGTAATTCAGCAGAGGTCATTAACCAGGACTCTCAGAAAACAGAAGCCAACACACAAAGCCCAATCCCATGTCATTCTTAAATGGGATCACCTCTATTAGAGTCATCGCTCATGACTCTTTTATCAGGCAATAGACATTCCGTTGTGAATCTAAATGATCTCAATCAATGTACAGTACGCACACAACTGGAACTGCCTAAGAAAATATCTTGTAGATGCTTTTCTGCTGGAATATCTGCTACTGTTTTAGCTTCCTCTTCCCCTGTATATGACTAAATTAGTGACTCTCAATGTATAAAAGGGGAAACACTGCTGTATTCAGTCTGAGCTATATTCAGAACTGTATTCTGTACTGTGCTCCTGTATGCATACATATCTGCTTTCCTGCTCACTTCAAGAACCTGTTCAATGAGTGATTTCTACAAGTGGAAAGTTAGGTAAGGCAGAAAGTTCACCAAAAACGGAGGATATCAAGACAAGCAAGTCGTCATGCAATAAAGCTTTTACTACATGGTCCCAATACTAATGTAGTATCGGGGTTACAACAAGCGCAGAATTATAAACCACCTAAAAATTAGGTTTAACTTATTGTATTTATGGTTGCGTCCAAAGACAATTCCGCAGACAGGCATGTTTAATTCCAAGACTCATCTAAAGGAGTTTAGATGATAAACCTGAGCAGAACTAAAAATTAACCAAGTAGCTTTTTTTAAAAAAAAATATTAGTTGCTTTTAGACTTTGCATACAACAATCTCACATTTAAATTTAGATCATGCTGTTATTCAGAATCCTGGAATGCAGCTTAAAATAAGGATAGAAGTTAGATTTCATTGTTTTCAAACATTTCCTTGCACAAGTCATGACTTGAAGTAGCTGGAAATCAAAGCTATCAGCAAATTCGTCTTATTAATTCAGACCATAGTAACATCACAGAATAGAGACGAAAGACTTCATTACCGCTGGAACAGTTAGAAATGTGAAACCCATGTATCTTGATTACAACTTATCTGGCCTTGCTTGTGTGGACTGGTTTACTATTTCTAATTCACATTTAGAAAGCCTTACCCATCCTGGATAAGTAGTTTCAAGGGTGTCACATGAAACAAATATTTACTTAGATGATATTTAGATAAGGGCATCACTGTCTACATTTTAGCAGCTGTGAAGCTGGATAGGTAAAATTTTATATTTATCTGCTTACAACAAAGGAAAATAACAGACTGAGTGCTTAGTATTATAAGTAAGCAATATTATCAAAAAGAATTACATTTTTATGTAACCAACATGATGCCGTCATTTACATTGCAAACGTCAGACACACAGGCGTGACTTACTAATAATTAGTATAAATCAGAGACACATTTCATGTGTCTATAACAATATCTTCTGTTCCTGTTTTTTGTATCTTCGGATTTTTGTTCCAAGGTGAGAAGTTAACCAACTTATTTTTTTAAATAGACACACTGTAACATAAGTTTTTTTTAATGTCTTTTATACCTGATTATTTAAAACCAAACTCACTACAAGCCAAAGCAAGAGTAACACTTAACTCTTTACATCTCCTATCCCTGACAAACATTACTGTAGTTCTACATAGTTACAGCATTTATAATTGCAATTTCAAATTGTAAACTTGTGCGAAAGATTCTTCAAAGGATAGAAAAGTCCATAAAAGTAAATCTGCCTGTATTATTATTGAAGTTTATGTCCATTGGGTAACCATACTGTATGGCCCCCTAAGCCCCAGCATCAAATCCTGGACAATATTTTTTTTCTGACAGTTTTTGAACATGATAAGGTATATCTCTGAGTAAAAATAAAAGTCCACAAATATTGCAATCAACAACCCAAAAGCACAGCCAAGCAAAAACGTCCTTCTTTTGACTCCTTGCCAAACCTGATCTGAGACTTAGCCAACTGCCACCCACACTGCATCTGATTCACCTGCGTCCTGTACTGACTGGTGTGCTCTCATCACACACAGTAAATCACATTCCCGATTCATCAAAGTGCTGGGGGCGAAATGGGGTGGAAGGAGATTCATGTGTTTTTAGCTGCAGAGGTGACAGCACAGTGGGGAGCAACAGAGAAGAGGCCACTCACAGGGAAAACCCACAGGCAGCTCAGGAAAAGTATGACTGATTGAATAGCACCCTGAACTGCTCAACAGCAGCAAGCACTCAACTCAAGCGCTCCTTTGTTAGAAAGTGAAAAAAACTACGTCAGTAACTAATAAGTATTAGGATGATGAAACAGATGCTAAGGGTTGGTCTTTAATGTTTTTACCCTCAGCTGGCATTGTAATAGTAACAATAATTGCTTGGATCTTTGCACTGAATATCAGGGTGCTTTATAATATAGGAGGGGGCTACTGAAGTACAGCAGTCATTTGGATGCTGCACAGCCCTACTACACAGTAGATCAAATGGCAAAGTGAGAAAGTGCTTCATCTGTTTAATGGGAAACTTAAACCAGAGTGGAAATTAGCTTGTCCCCTTGAATTTTTAATGACTACCCAGGTATGTCTTCATTTTGATACCTCAGCCAAAGCAGCACAGTGTTCTCAGTCACCATACTGTAGTATGACACTGGTGTGTTCCAAGGGAGAAATGCTGGTCCTCCAACACCATTTAAAATAGAAATCTGTTTTTCCTTTGAGGTCTTCCAACTGAGTAATGACTACATTTAACCTTAGGAGATCTGCTGAGCACAGGCTGGAAGGTGCCATTAGCATCTGCTGCCAAGACAGCAATGTTGTTGTTACAGCTCAATCTGCAGTTTACTGTAGAAGAAACGTTGCTCCTCCAGTATTGTCATATTAGCAGGAGGTGAGTATCTTAATTGTAAACCACCGTCAATGATGATCTCACTTTAGTTCAATGGTAATCATGTTCTAGTATGGAGCCTCCAAAAATTCCCTGGTACTGGAATTAAAACATGACATCAGTAGATCTATTTTTAGAAAAATGGCATTCACAAAGAATAATGTTCACCTCCACCTAGTGTATGGATATGAGTCTCTGGGGCTTACCTTCATGGCTTTGCTCTTGGCTTTGTGCTTGCTGTAGCTCGGGGCCATCACTGACACAGGCTGCACACGGGGGAGAGAAACAGAGGTTTGACCTACTGCACAAGGGAGAACCAGAAACAGTAACAAAATTGGAGTACTGCACAAAAGTCTGGGCTTTTCATTTTGATGATTATGCCTCTCAGACCTTTGCTCCTGCTTTGTTTTGCTCCTGGCTATTACCTTTTTCTTGGCCTATATAATCAGCTCTGCTTGAAGTGAAGCAGACTTTTGACAGCTACAAAAGGGGAGAGAGGGGCCGAGGTTCTCTAGCGAGACCCAACTGCATCCTGGAGTGTGGAAAGCCTCAAGGAACACAGGGGGTTTCAGACAGAAGAAATGTTCTCTTGCATGAGAAAAGGTTGCGTGACTGAGTGATATCTCAGCTATGAGCAAGCAAAATGCAAGCAAAAGCTTGAAATCTGACTTTCTGAGTAGCATGGGAGTACTACAGCAATAAGAATTGAAATGAAACTTTTAAAGGTTTGATGCTAGTCCAAAATGCTGTTCAACAATTATTTAAATGAGCTTTGTGTAGTAATCTAAAAGTCACGAGTACAGATTTGTTTTTCTTAAAAGATACTTCAGACTCTCAGTAACAAGAAACAATCCCCATTAGCCATTGACTATTAACCAATTATTGGTTAATGCCAGACCATTTAGCCATTAAGCAGTGCTTTAAAGATCTAAAAATAAAACTGTAGTCCAAAAGGGAATTATTCCAAAGAACCACTATTATGAACTGGGACCAAACCTCTAATCAACAAAGTGCATTTCCACATTGAACTACAAGGAGGCAAAACCTAGATCAGATCAGATCACTTTATTGGCCAGATACAATTTCTTGTATTAGGAATTTGAGTTTTGCATATCCCAACTGGCTCTCCATAAGACACATAGGCACACAGACGGGGAGAGAGAAGCTTGGGGTCAGTGCCCCTGGAGCAGTTGTGTTTAAGGTCCTTGCTCAGGGGCCCAACAGAATAGGATTCCTCTGCCGGCCACGGGATTTGAACTGGCAACCTTCCAGCCACAGGTGCAGATCCTTAGCCATAGAGACACCGCACCGCCCACCTACTCACACTGCTGCAATCACCTTTGTTTCTAACTGTGTAGTGCTTGATTTAATTAATAGCTTGTCAAATATAGAAAATGTAAACAATAAGTCCAGACTGAGAAAAAAAGATCTTAATTCGGGTTTTAAACTGATCTATTGTATAAATACCCTTGATGTCTCTGGGAACAGATATAGTTTGGGAGAAAGACATCTAAAGGACCTAGCACCAAAGTTTTGAAACAATACGAAATGAGGACACAAAGATTTGTACACAGTTAGATTTGGGATGAAATGCAGAAAAGTTCTGAGACACAAGGAGCTAGGACCACATTCACTGCCTTAAATTCAAGCAAATTTAAAAACAATGAAGAACTGTGAAAGCAGTGGTTTTGCCAATGTGATTAAACTTTAAACAAATAAGAACATAAATATAGCAAATGAGAGGAGGCTATTTAGTACTTTAGTCAGTCATTGGACTGTTTGTCATCTACTGAACACTTTAAAGACATAATGTTAAATTCCTAACAGCTGTTCAACAACAGTCAGGTGTAATTTCAGTCTGGTTTCACTGGACACTGACCAGCCACTGCAGGCCTTCCTGCAAAATGAAAGCCGATAGAAAGCTCATCTTCCCAAAAGGAAGTGTGCAAAGACCTCATCCTCTCCTGGGCCTACAGAGTTGCAGCAGTGACCCAGCTCATGAACAGAGGGGGACTCCAGAATGGAGAACAGAAATTCTGATTACGGCTTATTGGTATTAAATGGTATTTAATAATGTGGACATTGTGCAGCTGAGGTAGGTGCTACATGAGGTGAGCTCCATAATGTTTTGAACAGATTTAGTCTGTGTGCCACATTCAGCTGTTTGTACTAGCCCCTCCAGCACGTCTCAGCTACAGGGGTTGTGTGAGGAGGCGTCTGATTTTAATAGTGGCTCCATTCACTAGATGCTTTTTTCCTGTTTAGTGAACATTTGTAACCTATTGAGAAGGACAGCTCTCTGAAAACATTTATCAGGCTGAAGTATACACACTGTGTAAATATACATTGTATTTGAGCAAAACATAGCTAAAAAGCTATTAATTCCCAAACATTTAAATAAAGAGGCCTGCAACCGTGTGTGGCGAATATTCTAATTCCAAATCTGAGCAAAGATGTTTGTAACTGAAACAACTACATTAATGAAACTTTATTCTAGCAAGGAAAAAGCACATAAATATCTCTGGGGTGTAAGACTCCCAGTGTGCCAACAGCGTGTGGTTAGGCAGCACACATTTGTGTAGCCCTTCTCCATCTCTCAGACAGGCACTGGGCTGCAGCCAGAGGCTGTGTGGAATAATAATTGGCTTATTGGGAACTGGAAGTACAACAACATGAGAAAAATAATGGGTAAAGGAAAGGCATTAAGCGAAAATAAAATGAAACAAATGGTCTGGCTACCTCTTGAGCCACTGTGTGTTAATGAGGAGAATGAACATCCCTGCAGATCCCTAACAGGTATAAAAGGAAGACAGCAGTACTCTTTTCATCTCTCGAGGATTTTGCTAAGCAGACCAGAAGTGGGGGTCTCTGGAAAGATCAGGGGCTAGCAGTGAGGTCACTGTCATGTATCAAACACAAGCCGTTGTGGAGGGAGAGTTGACCTCTGTAGAAATCTGGGGGCTGTGATATAAGGATCTGTTGCAGCAGCTGCATCAGAGCACATAAACGTCTCGGTCAAAACCGCATGACCGAGGGACACTTAACCACGTTAGTGCTGACACTTTAGGAGAAAAAAACCCTCAACAAGAGGTATACCAAAATCATAAAAGAGTGTAAGACATCCCAGGGAGTGGATCAAATCTCTCTTCTGAGAGAAACCTGGGCATTTGTCCCACTGGTCTGCCTGTGGGCCATACGAAAGGATTATTTAGTTAAACTGGGTTTATTGGGAGGAATTCAGATACAATGGGCTGGGAGGAGCTCATGTGTTGCTTTCTCTGCACTTCAGTTGCTCTGTTGCTCCAATTATGCTGTTGCAGTTTTCATGAAGATCAGCAAATAACGCACATCATGGTGAAATCGAAAGAGATGTCAATCAGTCAGCCCTTTCTGACCCAGGAGGTTCACACAGCTCTGTTGTCTCAACAGATCACCTCTGCCTAATAAACCTTCATCATGGCTTCACAGGAGTTTCCCTTAAATAACAACCCAGATAAATTCACAAAGCACCTGAAGACCATCCGCTTATCAAAGTACTCAGCTTTTCCCAACCTCCCACCAGCACCATAGCAGGAGTGCCAGGATCTAGTGCCATGAAAGTATTCTGAAAACAGGTGGTATAAGCTTTTAACATTTTACTGTATGTAAATGTGAACTATTTTGAATATGCATACAGAGAAAAGGGAGGAAATCAAGACTTAACGATACCACTTTGCCATTTTGAATTTTTGGCAGCACAGTGGCATGGCATTGCTGATTGATTTGAGACCCGAGTGCAAATTCATACAGGAGACCCGTCCATGTGGAGCTGGCTTGTTGATGTGGGGTTTTTCCATACTGGCTGGGTTTACTTGTGTGTCCACATTTTGTGTGAGCATGCGAGTCCTGGGATGGACTGGCTTCCGGAGTCAGCCCCAGTTCACCATCAACGCCACAGGCAGCTTTCAGATGCTTCTGAGCATGGATGTGTGAGGTTGACATGTAAAACAGGAATGATCCTTAATTCCACTAATCATTCATATTTCATCACCAGTATGGAACCATTCAGTGATTTTCACATGGCTGCTGAAACCTGCTGCATTGCACTGTATAAGAGACTATTTGGTAAAGTATAACACCCACAAATACATTACTTTTTATTTCTCTTTCTAATATTTTCTTTTCCTTTTCTTCTAAATCTTACCAGATTTAATGATCAAAGCGACTTTGTGGGGAACATTTCAGCCATGCAGAGGATCCCTAAGGTGTTAATGAGAGCACCAGCATGATAACCATGTTAAGGGAACATTGTGAGATTATTAGAGCAATTTAATATGGTGTAACCAATCATGCTGCTCATTGTGAGCAGAGTAATAACTCATGTCGGGAAAGGAGCAGTTCATTTTATTAGAGAGAATGTATTGAAGGAGACTGGTGTTTGGTGACAGGGAGTGGGTGTTTTTGTTCTGCTTTAAGGGGATTTGGGAATTCTCGGTCCCCGCTCTTCATGGGATAAAACATTTGATCCAGGATCACGCTTTAATATAAATTGCTGGGACTTAAGCCCACTCAGTACAGACCATGCAGGATACTAACAAGACATAATTTGAACATCTACACTAGTATAGAAAATTCCAACCAAGAACAGTCGCGATGATCCATACCACTAAATCACTAGTGGTTTAAGGCCTTTACTTATTTTTAAAATGGTATCGGTGGATCCAGGTTTTGAGCAATGAAGCAGCCATTTGAGAAGCTTAACTGTTTTCAAACAGTTAATTAATGTAAACTGATTTGATATAAATCAAATCAAATCTCTGCTAGGGAGAGAGTGAAGGGTTTGATAAATGAACATTTAGAAGACTATTAAAACCCAAACTGTTGTTTTTCCTGGGATGGAAAATACCTTCATAAATCTCACTAGTTTGATAAATAGAAAAACAAGCCACATCTTGGGCAAGTGGAAGAATACATAACGACCCTAAAGAGCTGTGGTCCATCAGCAAGTCATGATGCAGAAGACAAATGTCATCCCCTGGCAGCACTACAAGTCAATAGTATTACTTCAGCCGCAAGCTGATTCTTTATGACGTTAGTAAATGTGTCTATTACGTTGATGACTGAATAGAACATTTGTAACGCACTGTATTGTGACATTACTGGGTTGTGCATTGAAAACAATTTGGTAATGCATTACACAATTCAGATGTTTAATTTATTTGTTGGATATGTCCGTGATTAAAACCCCCAAATAAATATATATGCCATAATGTAACAATTTATATAATTCTACAATGTACCCAAATTGAGGTTCGTGTCTGATTCACATTGTTCAACGGAGAATGACCCGCCGTCCTTCATCATCTGACCAACTGGTGTATGACATCTGGTCGGATGATGTTTTAAAAACAAGTGGAGAGATTCAGTGTTGGTTTGATCTGCTGTGTGAAAGGACAGCTAATCCTCTGTTACGTTTTGCATCAGAGGAAGAGAAGGACTTTTTCCCACAGTTTTCACATTTTGTTGCTTTATGGCTTGCTGTCACTTTGAAGCAGCAAATAGTATTTTTAATATAAACGACTTACTCCACAAATTCAACTCAAAAAAGGAAAAAGAAATGAATTGGTAATATGAAAGAAAACTGGAAAGGTCATCATGATTCCACAAATATTTAAACCCTTTTCTATGCCAAACGTAATGACCCACACAATTAAACGTCAAGGTATTTAATAAAAACAGTATGTAGATTTACAAGATGGGGTACCCATGTTTCAGTGTTATTTACTGCATGAAAATACTTGATACTTTGTTTTCATATGAGAAATTTATAATAACAACAAAGTTGTTAATTCACTTTTGTGGAATCATTGTAAAACTTTCCCCATCTCTTCCTTCAAAAATATTAGCTACAGCTAGTGCTGGGCAATAATTCGAAAATGATAATTATCGCGATATAATTTTAACAAAAGTTTGATAAATTTTCGAGATATATGTTTATGCAGCTAACGTGGTGGTGTTGACCCACACGGTGGTGGCTGACAGGATTGTAGTTAGAGTGGAGAAATGAGCGACACTGAAGCAAATGTAGTGCTGCCAACGACCAGCTCGAAGGATGATGACATCGTCGACAGAAAAGGTCATTCAACTTCGGTAATTTGGAGATATTTTGGCTTTTTACTAAAAGACATAAAACAGAGCACTTTGCAGTCTGTCTGAGCCATCTTCTATGTGTGTTTTATCACACTGCAGTATTGAATTTTTCTATTAAGAAATTTTACTCATGCATATTTTGACATAAAAAAGACTTGAATACTCTCTACCTCAGATTTGTTTAATGTTTCTGCTGTTTGGCAAGTGTTAGTTGTGTTCTTAAAATAAAGAGTTGTTTAATATACCAATTAACTGTCTGGTTTCTTCAACTTTCACTCAAGAGAAAAAAATCTGCCTTTAAACTTGAAAGAAATAATGATTTGACATTTATGGTGGTAATTATCGATACCAACTGATATGAACATTTTTATCGTGATAATGTTTTTGGCCATATCGCCCAGCCCTAGCGACAGCATAGTCAGTAGTATGACAGTACAAAACTCAGTAGTGAGAATATCTCAAATAGCCTAAGTATCAGAGGGCAGGCCACTCCTTTATTTCTGTTTACTACACAGTTTTAGAAATGTGCATTTTAATCTTACCCGTGGTGTGGCTGAGAGGCTCTGCACGGTGAAGATGACTGGGTTCCCCGCGTTTTTAATGGCCTGAACCGCTTCATTATGGCTGGCGTTTTGAAGGTCCATCCCTGACACCTGTCACAAAACAAGACTAAAATGACTCCAACATCTTATTGCGACATGACAGCAGTGTCAGACCTTCCAATCTAGGGTTCTCAGATCTCAGAAACAAAACTACCACTGACCATGCCCAGTCAATAGTAGATATGGGTACCTACAAGGAAAACATGGTTTCTGCTGTAAGTGGTCTTGCTGGAGATGTTTGAAAACTTCAGAAACAATTTTCAAAACCACTGTCCATGGTGATAGGGGACACTAGCGTATAGGAGGAGCCATCCTTAGGATGAGGTGTTAAACCCAAGACGTTACTACTTGGTCATTAAAGATCCCATTGCAAAAAGGTGGTCTGAAAAGAGTCTGGCTGTTAAGCCTCCACCAGGCACACTGAATTCCACCCAGCACACTTTTCTGGCACATGTTCTGTGCTTCAGATTTCATAGTAACTTCTGAAGAAGCTTACTGAGCATTCCCATCACAGTCGTCTCTGTTCAAGTCTAAAAGGTTCAAGGTTCTGTCTTCCAGCCTATCAGTCAGACAATATTACTTTCAACCCAAAATGTATGTTGCTGAATGTTGCTGTCTTTAGGATTGACTTCAGAACAACAAAATCTTCTGATATAAAAAGGTGGCCAAAAGTGTACAGGAAATTTTAAAATGGTGTCTCACCAGTGCATTCTACAATTTCAAAGTTTCGTCCCTTGATTTAAATTCTACACTTTTATCTATATTTACATATATCTATCTCACAGACCCTGCCCTTCCTAAATCCTAAGGGTCTGCACATATAAAAATGATGGCCTAGAGAAGTCTAGGAGGCTTTATTTCACTTTTTCAGGATTCATAACCCCAAAACAACTAAAAAACCTACCACTAGCACATTGCATGTCTTTTAAATACCATATAGAACTCTACGCCCATGTGAGAATGTGAAATTCTAAACCATTTCCCAATTAGTTCAGTCACCCCGGTGCGACCATTTGCACGTAATTAGAGACCAAATAGTGTCATCTAGTGGCAGTTTTATTGTAACTACAGCTCATTTTTAAACTGTCCTGCCACAATATCTAATGCTTTTGCCTTCTGAATTGCTTCCCTACATAGTCTAGAAAATTACATTTATTAATGCATAAGAACAGCTGTTTTTTCTAATAATTAGCAGAATCTAGTTCTTTGAAATAAATTTGGAAAAGCAGTGATACTAATACATATCCCTGTGGTACTATTGTGGTAATTACACTATTCTAATCCTGATATTTTACAATTAATGATCTAAAAGGAGCTTTATCAAAAGTCTCTTTAACAAGGTTTAGCAGTAAAATGCCACAATAGCCATAAATGTATATCCATCTATTGATGGAAATCTACAACCAATGAGATACAAGAAGCCAACTGTATGTGCTTCTTGTAACTGGTCAGGGAGTCCTGGCATGGCAATGCTGCTGTGAATCCAGTGAATCATATCTCCAATACACCAGCATCATTCTGGTCCAGGCCAGCACAGTTGCAGACTGATGCTAGACTTCAAGCATACTCCAAAACATTGGCAAGTACAATAGTTGAGTCAGCTGTTTTTTAAAGAGCCGAGTGCTTTCTTGACTCATTTCAGCAGATTAGCAAGATTTATACAATAGTTTCTGCTGTTTGCCAACTTTGCAAGCTGTTAATGCTGTGTTTTATTATTTTTTGATGCAGTACATGAACACATGCCACCTCCCATTTAGGTGACCACTACAGCCTTGGTAGCAGACAAGCACAGTCAACAGCAAGTGGCCACTAGGGAGCTCATTACAACTTCACCTCACAGGGCTGCCGAGGGCTCTTCATTCTGAGATGTGAGTGGTTCTCAGCGAGATCCTTCCTTCAAATCACAGTGACTAACATATAAAAGTGAAGCAATGTCATTTCATGTTCAGATTTCAACTAGGAATGGCTTCATGTTAATTAAACTCTCTCACTTCATGGAGCTCTTCACCATCTCCTCATCACCTTGAAACACCCACTAACACAAGTGTCTGAACAGGCTCTCCGATAATGTGTCATCTTCATTCATGTCTTATGTTTAATGTGTTTGAAAGAGTCCTGCATATCTCATTCAGATTCACAATGGGCTAGCATTGAATTGAAGTTGGAGTCCAGTATGATAAAGAAAAGTGTTTGTGACATTATTTGTGTCCAGTTGCTGTATGCACTCCTGTGAAAGCTTGTTTGTTTTTTTTTTTATTTTCGACAGACCTACCTCTAGGATTTTGTCCCCAGTCTTCAGGGCCTTGGTCCTGCCGGCTGGACTTTCCTCCAAGACCTGTTTGATGAAGATCCCCTTCAGCTCCTCCCCGTTCTTCAGCTTCTTGATGACTGTGTGGCCACCCACGATGCTGATGCCCAGAGATTCTGCAGGCTCGCGCCACACCTCCACCCTGAACACAGGTACCACAGCTGTCATCCTCAGGAGGAACATCTCAGAAAAACACGGGGAGAGTCCGGCTGATGATGGACTCAAAACAGCCTCTAGTGCTATTATTTCAAATGATCCAAAACGAAAAGCATTCAGAAAGTGCTGAGCTGTTGGAGACTCTGACATTTGGAGAAGTAGAGGGTTTTCTTTTGCATTTACTCTGTTAAATAAATATACAGCACAAAACCACTTCTGAAGGACAGGCAACACAAACATTCATACTACTGAATGAGTGACCGTTACAGGAGCTGTTCGGGCAGCCCATCAAAGATAAACATTTGAGAAGGTGTGTTTTGAGGCGCAGCAGAGAAAGACAGTGAGGCAGGGTCTGACCTCCTGGGGGGACCCCAGTGACTGTAGGCAGGCGTTTCCTCCCCTTCCCCTTCTTCTCTCTCAGGCAGCTCGCTGCTGAGGAACACAGACAGCTTATCTCACAGAGCCGGGCACAAACATAAAACCAACTCCACTTCTTCATGGAAAAACGATTCTACAGGTGTACTTAAAGTCGTTTATACAACAGTCGGTTGTTAATGTTCCAGTACAATGTGAAGGGAGGTTGTGGTGGGTGGTGAACAGTGTCTTTTAGTACTGTAAAGGATGAGCAGTCCTGAAGTCTGGAAGAATACTGAGATTAAAATCATCTTCCTACATGTCTCTTGCCCAATCGACACTATTCATCCCCTTGTGCAACTGGGTACCAGCAGCATGCACTGTTTCTACAACTTCACAAATCATCTGTTACTGGGCTTGTTGAAGTGAGGACTAGTAAAGTCCTAAACTAAGAAGTGATAAGTATTCTTGAGTGCCAATTATTAGGTAAATTGAGAACTAAATGTACTCTATAGTACCATTTATTTTTTGTACGTTTGTTTAGCATTTTAAAGAGAGTGCATACTAGCGCTGTAGGTGCTTCACAAACAGACGCTTGTGGTAACTGCGTTTTCCAAGGCTCTACAGAACCTCTGATTTTTTTCTGAAACGGTTGACTGAACTGTTTTTTCTCCAAGTTGAACTCTCTTGATTTTTGCAGCCTTCTTTGGTGGAGGCTGTCAGTTCAAGCAGGTGCTAGGTACTACTAGTCTGTGAGCTTCTACCATCCTGCAAGGTGATGAAGCCTGATTCTAGTGCAATAACGGCAAGACAGGCAAGTAGGAAGAGGACATCTGAATTTCGAGCTTTCTTCCCTACATGTGCAAATGGCATGTGGCGAATGACATGGCGCTGATCAAGAGATGGAACAATTAAATTAATTGCACGGTTCTGCCAACAGTGGAGTACAAATCTAATAACTATGCTAATGCAAGCATAGAGTCTAATACAATCAACGTAATGCAAGTGTTATAACCAAATTCTTCAGCTTTCTAAATAAAGCAAAAGTCCATGACTCACGAGAAAGATCAGGTAACAGGCAATGGCACTTTGAAAGTCAGGAGGAAGACAAGGACATTAAAGCTGGTCAAACTGAATGTTAAGAGATTCAGCTTCAGTGCTGGGCGATGTGTCCAAGAGGACAGAAGTGGAGAGTGCTGTGTCATCAGATGACAGACAAAACCAAAAACACTCTATAAATGGAGCATATATTTAAATATACATCTCAAGGTAACTGTAAAGTTTCAAAAACAGCGGCAGCAAGAAAAAGCCCATTAGATGTCAATGCTCAGATCATATTTTTCTACCCTATTCTAATGTACTGTACCATGTCTAGTCAATAAGGAAATGAGTGATCAGATACACAGGGGCAGCTCCAGCTTCCCTGATAAGCTGTCTGAGTGAAAAGTGCGAGGCAAGCCCTGCCTTCTTCAAGCTGCTCTGCCCTGCTGCTCAGTTATTCCCTACTGCACACTCTGCCTGTACTCCAGAACAGACAGTGTCGTGACAGAACCAGTCTTATAAGAATTTGAAATCCCCAGGGTCTGCCCTCTCTGATTTCCTGTTGCAGTTTCCATACTGATTAGATCTGATCACAATGTATCAAAACAGCCAACTAAGCACAATTTCTCTCTGCAGTGAGTGCTATTCTCACAAGGGGCTCCTTTGAATTTGACAGCACATGTATGTAACATCAGTGTTTTAGTTGGAGCTACTCTAGAAATCTACTGTCAACCCACTAGACCCTTATAATTCTGGAGCCTACTGGATCTGGATTATTTGATACAATGTATAATACCTTGTTAATGGATTTTAAATTTTAATTTTAAAATCCAACGTTGATAACATTGAAAAAATTCCAATATTAATTTAACATAAGTTAATACTTCACCTAAATCCATTACTAACAACTTCTGACAATCAGAAGACCTAGTGCCTCCGGGGAACTACCGTAGGCATAATGTCACTGGGCTGACATCACTGACTGTATGTATGCGAGTTTTCATAATAGGTGAGCTTAGAAAGTGAGCCCCTGTGCTATTCTTACAGCATACCATAAAATTAAAATTACAGGCTCCTGGACAGAGATGTTCAACGTATGTATTTTTGTAACATGCACCTTACTATAAAAAAAACATTGCAGTGAGCCTAGGCTGCACACAAATTCAAATAGCACATTATGTAATCAAAACATCTTTGACACTTTGACACAATTTGACACTTTTTCCTCTCCACTGTGAAACACTGATAATGTGGAGGTGATAAATGAGAAAGATGATGATGATGTCGACAAAGAATTTGTAAATAACATTCTCAACAAACCAGCCTGATTTAGTGAAACCACTAGTTAAACCACTGGCTTTGCTGAACTTTTCTCCGATAAATATTGTGCTGATTTTAGGAAAATGAATGGAGAATTACATGTAGGATGTGCTGAAAGAATGAGGGCATATTCAAGTCAATCTAACACCATCTCAGGTCTTGACACTTTGAACTGCAGAAGACAAGTGAAGTCATTAAACAGGTACAGGTTGCACCGAGAACCAATTGAGCAGTTCTTGTATTTATTGCATTTTAAACCTTTTTAAAGGTTTTGACTATTTAAATTGTAAAAATTTGGAACTTCAGTGATCTGTGGTTTGTACAGTACTCCTCATTCTGGTTTGTGATGGGAAAACTTCTATGAAATGTGAATCTCGCACTAAATTCTGATGTGTTTTATAGTGTACTTCTGAAAACAATATAATTAATCTGCTGTTTCCTACTTTACATAATATTTATAAAATACATTTATATAAATTTTAAGAATTTATAAAATCCCACAGATTTTATTTAACACTGAAAAATGTACTAATTCCTAAACGTAATGAATTTATTTTTGCCTTTTCACATTTTTATCCCCTGATACAATAAATATTAAATAAAGCATTTCATTTCTAATATGTCTGCATTTGCAGGCACGCTTCCTCAAGGGGCTTGTATTGATTATCATTTATATTGCTGTAAAACAAAGCCTATAGAACTTCACAACACAGTAACGCACAGGGGTCTGCTGGATCCCGTGTGGAGCAGCAGCAGTTAGGGTTCTGGACTAGAAGGTTGTGGGTTTACGTCCCTAGAGAGATACCGCTGTTGTACCCTTGAACAAATTGTAGAAAAATAACCAGCTATATATCATACTCGTGGATAAAGGTGTCAGCCCAATATTACTTTCATAGCCATAGTGTTAGCAGTAGAGTTTTACCTGGTTATTCCTAAATAAGAGGGCACTGCCCCTTGACTCCTCCTCTTCCCTGCCTCCATTCCAGATGGAAAGACTAATGGCGTCCTGGAAGGAAGAGAAAAAGCAGTTAAACTTCCAGAATAAGACATGAGGGACTCACAGCAATACAACAAGTACAAGAGTGCTGGAGCCTGGGTCCTAAAATTAACCTCTGGCTCCAATCTGGGCAAATTCACTGGAGACCGGGAATTGGACTGTGCTCTTCAGGGGCTGGGTGTGTTTGCTGTTGGCTGGGCTTCCTCAAATTGCAGTACAGCAGTGCCCCCTGTCACATACCTGGTGTCAATGCACTTGTGGAGAAAATGGAAAGAGAAAATAAGGATAATTGAAAACCCCGTGCTTGTAAATAGTGCATTTAATTAAGTATACATACTGTAAGTTAAAAAGGATGAAGGAAAAATTAAACATTCATGTTCATCTCTAATCATCGACACAAACCCAATCTACGTGGTTTAAGGTAGCATGATTAAAGTAGCTGCGTTTCAGAGTAGGTTTTTCATTTAATTTTCCTTTAAAAGAACGTGTTGCAGTAACCCTGAAATGGGGATGTTTATCTGCTCACAATAAAGGACTCATTTACTTCAGTATGAGGACAAAATAACAGAACGACAAGATCTGAGGATGGACAACAGAGAGCTGTAATTACATGCTAGTAGAATTCAGCCTTTTTCTTCACAAGAGGCTTTTATCTTTAAAATGGGCATTTATGTTTTATATCTGCATCTGAAAATCCACATAGGCAGTGTTTTGTATTTTTTGTATGTTTTTAAAATATAAGCACATTTGTAGGTGGTAACAAAATTAATACTGATGAGACCTACAGAACCACCCTTTTGATAGTGTAAGACAGCTTATCAGTTCAGAGGAATGGGTAGAAAGACATTCCTTTTCATGAATTCAGCCTCCAGGCTCTGCTTTAAGTCCTCTTACAAGTTAAAATTTTTCCATCAATACTTGAAGAGCACAAATAGAAAAATATTTAGTCAGGCATAACAGTATGCACAAACAATTCCTCGTTTTACAGAGAAAATGACTTTGGAAAAACAATTTTTACAAAAAATAAAGAAATAAACAATTTAACAGCTGAATGACAGAGCTATTATAATTTGCTGCGTGCTGTGATCAATGTGGCTTCAGCCTGGAGCAGATGTAATCTATGAAGTTGCCTCAAAGTCAGGATCAAAAGTGTTGAGAGCAGGTGAAAGCAATTTCTTTCATTCCTTAACTGACACTTCCTATGACTGAACAGTTACAAAAATACTTTTAAGAAAAACTCATTTGTGTTGAAAACACAGTGTTCCATCATTTATCCAATTGATACTCGTCACCAAGTAACACAAGTTAACAAAGAATCTGACACGTTCACATTTATATAAAGGCCACTGTTTAAAAAAAAGGACAGAGAAAACTAACTTGTTAGAAATATTACGACGCCAGTGGTGTTTCATCAGTAAGAAACATACAGGCTGAAGCATCCTGGAATAGCAGTACCTGCTTTCTAAGCTGTGATGATTCGAAACTTTGCTCTTACTCTTATTATTTGTGCTTGTTTCTTACCGCTTGAACAGTGTTTTGAAAAACACAGTACATTTCTGTCTGGAACTGAGCAAAGGAAAGGGTGCAGAATTCTGTCAAACAGGAATAAGTACTCTGGATGAGTGCTTCAGAATTAAATCTTAAATTGTTCTGGTGTAAGAGCTTTGAGCTGTTGCCATAGGTGTCGTGTAACAGGATGCATGATTCATGCCGATTCTATGATTTTTAAGAAACGGACAGACAATTCTTAAAACATGAAACTCCTAGAAAAGCACATTCACAAGATGGGTCAAATACCATTCTCTTGTTTGGAACCTTGGTCCAACCAGTGGGCGCAAAAAAAACATTCATATGTGACTTGTCAACACATGTTACATGTGACATATATTCCATAAATTTAAATTAATACTGCATAATCAATCATCAGTGATCATTTTCAGTGCTCAGTTCTCTCCTGAGAACAGGAGGTTCATTTAATAAGAAAAAATGGTGGGATTCAGGAACAAGTTTTGTCCACTAGATCTTTCAAGAAATGCGTCTTCACACTAAATAAGCAATATGGAGTGAATAAGTATGTAAGCATGTATAGCACTCTTCATCTCAAAAGCCCTCAAAGTGCTTTACAGCGCACAGAGAAGGAGGTTCAGCAACCCATCTGGTCAGGTGGATTAGGGAGAAGCCTAGAGTAGAATTAACCAGGACAATAGGGTAACACTACTACTCATTTTAAATTAATATTTAATGAACAAGTAGTCAGGACTTTGGTTCAATGTCTTCTTTGAAAAAGGGCACCTTGTACAGCACACTGTCCCTCGACCTCTTACTGGAGCACTGGCCTTGGAAATTCTGGTTTAGCAAGAATAGCACCACCTACTGGTGCCTTTCACTTACAGCGGCAACATGATTTTCCACACCTGGACTGACCAGGCCCAGCTCTGCTCAGCAGCAGAGACCCAGTGAGATCTGGCTACAGGGCAGTAATGTTGCTGCACACGAGAAAGCTGGGTATCAGCTTTAACAATGTGTAAAAGCTTGTTACAGACTCCTACAATCTTTAGCTTAAAGTAAAGAAGTGCCTCCTGTTCTCAATGCCCTTTTATGACATTAATATGTTCTTTTATCCTCTTTCTTTATGAAAGGAAATTACCTTTCCTTGTCTTCAAAGCTGAAAATTGACAACATCCGGGCTTAAATGATGACTTATTTTGTTCTGGCAACTGTTCATCCTTTTTTTTTAATTGCAGCATGAGAGAAGGACTGGAAAAATGGAAAATCATTTTTCCAGTCTTGAAGCAGAAACTTACCAACAAGGCTTCCAAAGAACTAAAAAAAGAATAAAACACCAGAATGACAGCAGTGTGAATGAATGAATGGATGTGGTTCCTGTTCCTGTGGTGCTCATAGAGAAATATTAAATACAAATGTTGCATTTCTTGTGGCCTACAGGCTACAAGTGAACAATAACAAATACAATGTGAACCGTGACTGGATTCCCTGGATTAATATGTTATCAGCATTAAAGACAGCAATGAGCAATGAGAGACCAAAGAAGGACAAGTTACACACCACTGTGCTTGCAGCAATGGTGTGTCTCTTAACACCCCCAGGTATTAAAAAAAATCAAACATTTTCATTATTGTCCAAGGATTGTCAGGATGGGAACCCGGAGACAAAAGCAATGCTGTCAAGAGGAGCATGTTCTTCACATGCTTTAGCCCATTTTCATCAGCAGGTGGAGCTGCGATCACTTTGTTAACTACAAAGAGCCACATAATAATGCTCTATACAAGACATATACATCTCAGTTCAGGCTGCTGTGTACATTAAGCTTTAATGTGCCAGCAAATCTGCAGGACTTTAATGAATTCCACAGCATGCTGCTGCCTTAACAATCCTGGCTTTGATCTTATTAAAAGGACTTTGTGCGTGGGTTGTCTTCCAAGGCAAAACAGCACGCACAGAGAACGAACTTCTGATTAAAGTCTTTAGGAACTGAGGTACTTCACAAAAAAACAGTAGAGTAGCATATGTTACTGAAGACCACACAAGCAACAGCCTGGTTGAATTTTGAAATAACGAACATGGGAAATCTGCCAACAGCAACAACTGCTTTGTATTATACAGTGTCATGGACAACTCATTGCAAGAAATGCAGCTGTATGAGAATTTGCGAAAGAAGCACAATAGTAACGCTTGAAATCTTTTTCCTATGTCTTATCTCTCCATTTTTTGATGAACATTGGCAATGAAATAAACCTCACAATCTGGAGTCAATGATCACGCTTATCCCAGTGTTCCTCTCACATGCCGGGTTGTTAAAGCCATCTGGACACTGCAAGTCTCAAGCGGTCAGTGATAATAACTGCAAACAGGCTGCCCGCGAGTCACAGCTCAGTGTTACACAGTGAGATGAGGACAGGCATGGCAGCTTAAGCCACCAAACACCAGCAACACACACCGCTGGATACAAACACAGCACAGGTACAAACCTTCCTAGATGAGAAGGCACAGCGAGTTCTCAGACCAACTTTCTTCAGGGGTCAAAGTGCTCACCTTCACATGTATCACAAATTAACATGGGTAACTGGGGTTTGGGACTTGATCAGAAGATTTCTGAGAAGGCCAAGAGTGTGCAACGAATCTGGCCAGGTTTCAAGGACCTTTTTAAAGAAATCATCAGAACTCATCAGAATGGACTTAACGGAGGGGAATTATCCCAAATTTCCTGTGGCATGGTGAGGTTTCATAATGTTTTGAGAATTAAAAATTATTTTAAAACATTTCTTCCGCCATGCATTTAGCCACTGGAAAGGAAGCAGCAACAAGAGAAAACATTTTCACTGTGGGACATAACCAATGAGTAATGTCATGCGAGGGTATCCCATTACCTTTTTTATAATGGTACACTCTGGGACGCTTGCATACTTTAAGCCCACGGTTGATCTACATTACAGAAATCGTCCAATTATTTACTTTAATGCAATATAAAACAAGTGTTGAATTAAAATGATCATACAACATTTGTACAAATAAATGGCCTCAATTAAAAATCAGAACATGTCCGCAAAACCTTCCTTTCTCAATGAGAAAGAGTGTTTGCTTCTTTGGAATTCTATTTCTGGAAATATGAGCTTCCCAGGACTGGCGGTGGTTAAACACTAACCCTAACCCATTCACAGAGAAATGGTGTAGTGGAGTTTCCTAAAACCTTGCTACAGGGCCAAGCTTAAAATTCTGACCAGACTTTTATCTGAAAATTAAAATCAATCCAATTAATGACAGGTTTCAGTCTGCCAAAGGTACCCTCACCCTCAACCTCAAGGGAAACAAGTATTTGCAATGGTCAGATGGATTCATGTTTCCTGTGGATCAATATTTCTTAATACTGTGCCACAATGTTTTTCAGTTTGTCCTCGTGCTGGGTTCCACATGCATTCCATACTGACAGTATAGGTCCATTTAACCAGGTGAAAATTCACTCAGACTCACTCAATTACTTGCTCCATCTCAGTTTGTTCAGAGATGCTATTCCTGGAAGGGGTCAAGTCACCCCCACTTTCAGGCTGCCACTCGAAGTCCATGTCATTTTCGGGGGCCTCCAGGATTAGGCTCATGTGGGGACCTGGGAGAACAGAGTATAGAGCACACTTGTGCAGGACATGGAAGGCCTTTAACTAGTCTTTCAACACTCCATATCCTAACCAGATTCCACATCTCACAGCAGAGCTCCAATAAATTTAAATTAATTCTTATTTAGGATATTATACCTAAACCTTAATTCTCACAGCTTTAGGTATAATATCCTTTCTGTGTCATAAACTATATTTAGATAAACTATATTTAAAAGTGTCCTTATTCTGTTCTTTGTAAAACACAAAACTCATGCTTTTGTAAACACTAAAATGATGACAAAACATACAGACTTACTTGATAGACATCTTCTATGACTGTAGATCGGATTTAATTTAAACCATGCCGGGCAATATGAAACTCAAAAATATCTGGGACACATTTTGATTCAATTGTATTCTGCCGTTGGTGATCCTGAGTGTTGTTTCGAGACAATTTTGATAGAGCCACAAGAGGTACAGGAAGGTCCTGACAAACCAGTATTGTGAGAGACTGGAGAGCGGACTTGGATTACTCACTGGAGTGAGGGCTGCTTAGGGGTTCTCTGGTCTCTGGCGCCATCCTGTTATCATAAACATGGTCCTTGTCTTCATCCTGGCAGGTCAGAGGTCAAGAGAGACAGGAGACATTCAGAGATGATAAGGATGGTACTACCCTTACGCCCAACAACAAATCATCAGCCCTCACCTGTTCTGATGTTCCTATGCAAAAGTGCAAATCTGAATCGTTAATAAATAGAGAAACACTGAGTTTCTGCAAAATGAAGGGGATGTGGCATGGGCATGTGACTCGCTGCACAAAGAAACACTGAAATGGAGATGAAAGCAGCTTGTGGACTATTATCTTGTGTTTGAGGAGGTCCAGGGGAGACTAATGCAGATCCACATTATTTGTACAGTTCTAGAATTAAAGCACCAGGTTACCATCAGAGCACAGGTGAGCTAATTGCCCAAATGGTACATGCATCTATATGCTCATACTACATTTAAGCTTGTTTGCCCCATGGAAATAATTTAACTAAAGGCTCTGAGCAAATCTACAGAGTGCATTACAATATTTTAAATAAAATGTATATTTTTCTAGTTTAATTTTGTTTGTGTGATGGAACTGACTGCTTTCTCTCCATTGTTAATACAATGAAGTGAATTTGTTTTATTACAAATTTGTCAGAATTGACACATTGTGAAAAAACACAGTACGGTGAAGTTCTGATGATTTCATTCAATTTTCACTGGCAACTGGCATAGGGAACTGGAGCAATCCCTTTTTATATGAACTTAATTTGTTCCCTGAAAACTGCTCGTCAGGGAAGTTAAATTAAATTCCCACTACATCCTGTGTTATGATCTCCGATTGGTTCCCGAACTCAAAAATTTTCCCGCAAACACCCGTACTTCACATTTATACGGCACAGACAGGTATACCGAAAACGGAAAAAAAGAATATTCCTGGTTAATTATTGGAGTAACATGCTAAATATCATTAACTGATGCATAAACAATAGGTAGAAAAACAATAACAGGCACCCCTGTTTGGAAACGATGCAAATAGATCTGTGTTGAAGGATTCAGACCAACATCAGAACAAGGGTGAGGCAGTCCTGCCATCATCGGTCCACAGATAACAACTTCTTTCATCAGCTCTTAAGAAAAAGCAGTTCAAATTAAAACCCCTCCTTAGCTCAACCCTTCATTTGCATTGATCCCTCAGTGATGCAAAGCCTACTTTGGAAAAGTGGAGCTTGAACTCAATTATTTAAAAGTGGTTAAATGCTCTGGAGAAGAAGCTATAACAACACCTGCCCAAGCGTGTCCATCAATCCCTTTTCTTTTCCCATTCAAAGCAGTTTAATCGCAAATTAGTTCATTTAATTGCTGTTTTATGGATTTTGCAGTATAGCGATGAGAAGCAGACAGAGTTGGTGGTTAAGTACTGACTCACTTCTGAGCAAAGAAACTGAAAACTGAGTATATACACAGAAGAGAACTTTTGGGACCCGTAGAACCCTCTTTTATTTAACTCCTGAGCTCTTAGGCTTTTCTGTAAACCATTATTGAACTAACAATTAACTGATTTATTTGAAGTGCCTTATCTGTTCGATTGAGGGTTCAATGAAGATACTAAAAGTGGGTGAATGAAACACCCGAAAACAGGACATTTTAGCACTAATTACAGGCCAAAGCCTTGCAGTATTTTGTTTTCCAACACACAAGCTCCAACAAAGACCTGAGATTTTCTCATGAAGTGTTGCTTCACAAATCCCCATGTAAAACTGTTGCAAATGTGAAAGAGAAGTTATGTGCGCTTGCGTTTTAACACCTCCAAGTGGTGGTAGGGCTGCTGATGTGTGTCTATCAGCCCTGTGAAGAGAGAACCAAGTGTTTGAAACATCAGATTTGTGTAGCAAACAGCCCCCTAAACAGTTTGTGGAACACAAGGGCACAGCCTTGTCTCTGGGGTCTTTCTCTGACTGAAGTGCACAAAAACCAAGTGTTTGTACTTATTGCAACTAAGAAAAAACATCTGGAACCACATGAACAGTAGTTAAACTAAAATGTTTAAATTGCAAAACCACATGGGGAAGTAAACTATATTGGCCTGGAGAGACTATAACAGATACGGAGTGATTCCCACCCCATTTACTTAGAATAACCTCTTCCACAAAAAGCAGATTTATGTGAGATATAAAGAAAGGCTGTTGCTAGAATTTCAGGCAATGCAGAGATCGAACATGATGGCGGATTCTTTGATTAAAGTCCGTCTCTTCTTTTTTAAAAATGTTTCGCTGGCCACAATATTAAGATCCCCAGTCAAATGAACGGACATTCTCAGTGGCAGGCAATGCCTATCTGGAACAACCCATGGATCTCAATCAAATTGAATACGAGTGGAGCCATTGAGCAGTTCAATCCCACATACCATTAATCTCATCACAACCTCCTGTGTTAAAGAAGAACAGCATGGAGTCTGGCTGCAAAGCTTTAAGATCTAGTGGTATGCATGCCATGTGTTTTTCTTGAGGTTTCCCCATACCTTGGTCCATGTGCATGTTTTCTTATCTGCTTTTTTGTGTACAGGTTTGAAAGACCAGACAGGAAGATAACACCCCTGTGCTCACCTCTTCTTGTAATCTGCTGTAAGGAGGAGGCAGGTCAGCAGGGTCGACCAGTTCTTCCTGCGTGAGAATCCCCTCTTGCTGCTCTTCCTCCTCGTCTACCACCATTTCACTCCTCCCTAGAGCGCCACTTGGCTGCAGCAGCTCCAAGGTGTCTCCACCAGCCGGTCCTGGCCCCCTCCAGGGGAAGGGGGAGCTGCGTAGGTACACCTCTGGTTCATCTACCAGCTCCTCCAGAAGAGGAGTCTCGTCATCGAAGCACTGCCAGGAAAGGAAACAGGCAGACCCATTGTGATGCCAAACCTTCCTGTATTCAACAGAGAAACAAATCTGCAAGCTCATCTCATAACTTTACCATGTGGTAAAATGCTACTCTGGTATCAGATGCAGCTTGGTATCTTTTTGGTTTGTTCCCTTACACTTAAACCTTGGGTATAAAGTGATTTTTCACGAAGGCATCTGAATCCAGATAAAACTCCAAACTTTCTGTCATGTTGGACCGTTATAGGCTGACCTTGTCAGAACTCAGAAGCTAAGCAAGACTATCAGAACAGGGATGGAAAACATTTAAAGAAAGCCAAGCTGCTAAATTGTAAGGGTTGCTGGTGGACAAGAAGGTCACACTCTATTCCCCACTGGAAGATAATTTCAATACCATGCCCCCTGTGTAGTGACTGAGGATGCTCTGCTGTCCTTCCTTTAAAGGACATGTTCAAACATTTTCCTCACACTGTTAGTGGTGCTAACCTCTGTGTCTTGACTCAGTTCTATTCTAGGCTTGCACAACCTGGCCTCTGACAAGTTCTGCCTTATTAATATTGGTGAAGCAATTTCTGACTTCTCCACACAATCTCTTGTGTAATGGTGCTGCTGGTGGAAAGTGGTTTCCCTCCTATATGTTACAGCACTTTGGGCTTATTTGGGATGAAAGGTGTAGAAGAAATGCAAGCAAGTATTTCTACCATTTCTCATCTTTTCTTTCTGATCACTATTTCTAAATGAATTGCTTGTGTAACATGTTTAGGTCATTTGTGAAATATGACAATTTTCCGTGGGCACCGATTTCATTTGCAAAAATTATTGTGGCTACAGTAGCTGTGGGGGCATTCTAACACATTTATGCACTGCTGTTTGAGATTAAGAGGCTAGACTGTTCACTGTCACTCCTGGCAAATCTTTCATCTTTAGCCCAGTAGAATGTTCAGTGAGGAAATCACTACAAGAACTACATTGATTGTGGCATCATAATGTAATAATAAAGCTATCAGATACTGTACAGCAGGATTTACTCTTTTTGGCTCAGAATGGTGTATAGTTGTGTAATGTATATTAATGTTAAACACATTGTAATGGGTATCATATTTGGAATTAGTGTGTCACTGTACTACAATTTAAAACTGCTAGCAGAACTTTAAGTTGCTTAATATTCCCTCAATTACTCAGTTTTTCCTGTTCCTTGAGTTCCAATCTGCTTCCTATTTACTCTCCAGTGTTCTCCACTCATATTCTGCTGGTCAGTTGGTGAAATATACTCTCTAAATTTCTGCTTCTTATTGTTCTCCACCACTGACTGTACCTGTGAATGCCAGGACCATTTTCCTCAAATCCAAATTATTCCAACTATGCCTGTACAGCACTTATCTGCCTTGTAACTCAGTGCTTTCACCAGTACTGTGATATTTACATTATCCACTGAACTGAGGCTAGCTCTGCTCCTGTATTACATTATCTACTATTTTCTTACAGTATATCCCTTCTTGTCCTCTCTGCTGGCTGGCAGCAATTTGTTCTTATTCTTCAATCATCAATACACATGTCTCCTTTGACCTTTGGTGGGACCATTGCTCACTGCTTTTGAGCACATCACCTCCCAAGTTAACCACATAACCTCATCATATATCAGCTCCTCAACACTGCCCAGTTCAGACCACAGACCTCCTCCTCGACACTGTCCAATTCTCACCACAGACCACCTCCTCAACACTGCCCAATTCTCACCACAAACCACCTCCTCAATACTGCCCAATTCTCACCACAGATCACCTCCTCACCACTGCCCAATTCTCACCACAGATCACCTCCTCACCACTGCCCAATTCTCACCACAGATCACCTCCTCAACACTGCCCAATTCTCACCACAGACCACCTCCTCAACATTGCCCAAATTTTACCACAGATCCTCAACACTGCCCAGTTCAGACCACAGCTGTAGATGTGCAAACATAAGTTTAACCGATGTTGTAGTAAAACCACACATCGTAGATACTGCAAACCACAAAGAGCCACCCACCAGTGTCGTGTTTTATACAACAGGTAAACAGGTTTTAAACCTCAGCAAATGTGTCTGACATTTGCTGCTGTTTTTGAGATGACTGTTCCAAAAACATTGCAACTGGTAAAGTAGAGAATGAGCAGACCTGCACCTAACCTGACACCACAGAGTACCGTGAAGGCCCGGTGACGACTACATTTTTAGTCTAGTCTCAAAATCCACAAATACACAACTAAAAAGATAGCAGCCCTTCCTGGGAAAATGCAAAACAAATTAGGTCGATGTTATTTATTTTTTTTAAACTACAGAGTCTCCATAAAAGGGCAAATTACATAATTTTTCACTGCAAACTGATTTTTTGGGATCCCTGCTGGTTGCCTGTAAAATCTCCTTTACTCAGACTGTATCTGTGAATTGGGTGATCTGTACACTTCACTGTTGAGACCACACCTGGAAGTTCTCAGTGCTCCTACCTCACACCTGTTGCTATACAGCTCTGTGCTGTGGCTGGCCCACGTCTCTGCATGCAGCATTTACCCAAACATTTCCTGCACATAATCCCTGTGATTTACTGTACTCTAAACTGATTTCTGATTGTTGTTTTTTTGACTCCATCTGAGTCACACTCGATAAAATTATCAACAGAACCACCATGAGAGAGTTGTCGTAGGTCGTAACTAGAGACATGGGTCTTAAAAAGGTCGGTGAGCCTCCCAGGACAGTATTATGTGACACTAGTATTGAATAAAAACACTAATGACAGAAGAGCTCTCACAAAACAGAACTGATGAGAGCTAACAGCACACTCCGAATCTGTTCACATTCTCACTGGGTCACAAGCAGAAACTTTCAATCTGAGAACAAATGCTCCCTGCCTTGTGAATACAAATAGGGACTTTATCACCTCAGCAGCAAGGGTCTGTCCTTACAGTAGGCTGCCCAGACATAGACACTTTAAAATATCATAAAAGCTGAAAATGCATTTTTCTTGCCCCCAATCCAGTCGACTCAGCACCTCCAGCATGTCAACTCTGAACAGCTCCAAACCAATTTGCAATGAAAAATGTGCAGAGTCTAAAATCTTAATAGCACAATTAGTCTCGTTTTTGGTAGATTTACTGCAGCACTTGACTCCACGCTGCAGTTAGCACATCTTCACTAAAATCCAAGGATAATATGCCTCAGGAAGAAAGAGGCATGCATCACTGCAAAGTGTCCTAAATGAACCATCTTCTCTTTCTCATATTTTTTTAGCTTCTAAAAGTTTTATTACATTTTGGTTTTAATCATTTCAATTGAACTTTAATAATTAAAAAGTATTGGAGATCTCCTCTGTTCTCGTTAAGTGTTCTTCTTGAATAGCTTAATATTAAGGAAAGTAGGTTTCCTTAATATTTCTAGATATGGTTTTCTAGAGATTTCTTCATAACTATCTTTACTTGTGAACAGTGATAAGGAAGCATTATGTCTTTATGAAAATGTGACGTCTTTCTGTGTTACTTGACAACAAATGAACAAAATGCAGACATTTAGAGTGAAAAGACTAACCTAGAACATACGTACATACAAGGGAAGCAACATTAAAGTTGTATAAAGTATTAAAAAGTCCTAATTTACAACACTGTTCATCATTTTGGTTGTTAGAAAAAATAAACTGTTTCCCTGCAAGAGATTGGAATTCTGATTCCAAAAGAATGTTTACAGACAAGGAACAAAATCTCCTTAGCCTTGAACAGAAGGGTTAATAAAGATTCAAGTTGTCAAAAGTCCTAGATAACTTTTAAAAGATCAGATGTGCTGAACAGAAACAAATAGATTTAAACCCAGGCTAGGAGAAAAATGGTAGAAACAGCATTTACATGTTTAAATCAGAGCTTGTGTAAAATTTACAAGCAGACAAATTTAAGAATCAATATATACAGACTAAACAATTATTAGATTCTGTACTGCAAATCCAGCCCATTACCACTGAATAAACAAGGATACTCAGGGATCAGCTAAACAAATAAACAGCATACTGTTATGAATGTATTTGGGGATATCTAGGATATTCATTTCAACATGTACTGACTCTGTAAATATTTATTAGTAGTAAACACACCTGAGACAAACATTTTGTATTTGTGGTAACATTTGTGGCTGTAGACTTTCTGTACATGGCTCATTGGAAACTAAAATGTCAGCCATCGTTTTTATATTAATGCAATGTGATTAGTACCTTTTCAGTCTTATGCAATACGCCACACATCCACCACTGCTGCTGAGGTGTCACTAACAACAGAACTGCACTTCTGCGCTAATCTGAGGGCTGGAGTACAGGGAGGTTCAATAACTGACTTTCTGGAATCAGTGATGGAGCTGGGACATTTAACCGAGAATTGCATGGAAAGATATAAAATAAGTCCTTTTGCCTTACTGACTGGATCATCTAGCATCTTGCATTGACAAGGACAGTTAAAAGTGTTACCACCCTTGGAACACAGAGCCAAATCCATGCATTAAATAATTTTTCTCTGTACTGCATGTGTATTACTGTCCTCACTTCTGAGCAGTGGCTAAGGACAGTTATTCAGCTGTGATGTAGTGAAGTGTGTACACAAAGGATCATGGGAGTTAGCTACTTGGCCGTCCAGAAAAAGGGGCACTGCATACATGCTGCAACTAAAAAAGAATCTAAAAATCTGCTCTTACGATTTTTTTCATTTTTGATTGAAATCTTGATTGAACTGAAACAAAAACAGTAAAAAAAATAAAAAAGTTGTATTTCTTTTATTTTAACAGGTGGAAAGGGGAAAGTAACCGTATTCTTGAATGGAGCACCTTTGTGAACAATGCTATATCAAGCTCCTGTGCGGATACTAAACATGTCTAAACTCTGACTTCTCTCTGAGTTTACCAGCTGATGACAGCACTTGTCCTGACCAAACAATGGATTTTGATCTCATATTAGTATTGGAATTGAGAGAGAACAGCAGCTAAAATGTTGAAAAACAAAAACCTGAAAAATGAAAAGCGGAAGTACAACCAGTACAACAGCAAGCAGACCCTGTGGTTGTGCTTGTCTGTGGAAGTGAAAAAACTGGGACAACAGTCTGGTCCGGACCCTGTGGTTGAGCCTGTGAATTGTTGGTACCTGTGGGACTGGGGGAACAGCCCGGTCCAGCACAGTGCTGACAAGGGGCTCACTGCCCAGCATCTCTTTCATCTGGGTGCCGGAGGGCTGGTGATCTGGTTCCACTTCAGTCTTCTGCTCCTCCATCTGCTCTGGCTACAACGGGATAAACACAGCGCATCACACACACCTGCTCAACAGCCCAGCACACAACACCTAGAGCTCAAAGTGCTCAGAAAGCAGTGATGAACTGGGATTCCCAGTTTGTCCTTTTTATAAATTTAAGATTTAAGTTTTCAATGGAGAAAACTTAAATCTTAAATCATTGCTGAGGAAGCAGATTTCCTGAGGAAGCAGGTTAATATCAAGCAAGTGATTTTCAGATTTTCAAGCAAGTGAACTTCAATATTCAGTTCTTTTCCAATATGGGGAAAATCAGAGCTACTAAAAATCACTGGCCATTTGGGTGATCAATCCTGTCTCGTTCCGTTTTAGTCACATAAACCAGTTCTGCGCAAAGTGGAAAATCTCCAAATGGACAATTAATCAAAGCTAACATGTATGTCATGTCTGTGAAAAGAGGAAACTGATGAAAGCCCATTGGCACATGGGAGAGAGCATGCAAACTCCACACAGACAGGCATCCTAACTTTGACCCAGCCTCGGACCCTGAAGCTCCGAGGCAGTAATTGTTTTAGAGAGATGCATATGTTCATAAGTTATTTAAAACCTTTCACACATGAAATCTGTGGTACTAATTAAAGTCATGAAGTGGCCAGAGGGAGATGTCACATGCACAAGTATGAGTGGTTCCCTGCCGATTGCTGGAGCTCCCCAGGGTAAACCACATCAGACCCACACGTAGAGTGAGATTTACAGTCACAGTTTAGTTCCACTAGAACACTCTCAGGGACTCCCACTAACAATCCCACAGGTAGTCATGTGAGATTAAGCTGCGGAGATGTGAGAGTGCCTCTACCAGTGCCCATACAAAGTGCTCTTTCACTGGAGAATGGCCATGCTTGAGGCACGCCAGAGGCTCTTCCTTTTATATTCAATCAACAATGAATAACAGCGAAAGAGCACCTGTGATGATTGCTAAAAAACACAGGCTATTTTCAAAGCCAGCACACTGAAAAGTGAATGATGATGAATGTTTGCAAAGCAGCATGTTTCTCCACTCTACGAGTCAGCATTGACCCCTTTATTAAGAGACAACATGCCCAGAGAGAAGGCAGAAAGTACAGAAGCTGCTTGCTAGCTCTTAATAAGAAAGGTGCTTACCACTAAAGGTTTACAGATGCCCAGGTGGACCTTCCCAGGAGGCACTGATTTGAGCACCTCCACTGCCTCTGGCAGGGTGCATCTGTCCAGGTGAGTGTCATTGACGAAGACCAGCCTGTCTCCCGGCAGGATCCCCCCATTGCATTCAGCCACCCCTCCCGGCACCAGGGACCGGATCACTATCACAGAGCGTCTCAGATCTTCGGGATCCTGTAGAGGGCACCAGAGACCACCGCAAGCACGTCATGCTTCACACAGCCGTACAAAGAGCAGCCGCAGCTGCCAGAACCCACTCTCCCACAGAAGGAGAGAAAGCAGAAATCAGCTGCATGCATGGGCCGGGAGGAGGCCTGATTACTGCCAGCTGTAGCACTGAGAGACTTTCGCCTAATCCTGAAAGGCCATCATAATGTATTGTTTCAAAAAATATTAAACAGAAGGGGTTGTAAAGATAGGGTTTTTCTCTCCATGAGCTGAAAACGTTTAAAATTTAATTTTCTGCTTTGGATTTCTTCAATGCATATTTGAAAAGGGGCATGGGTACAGTAAATCTTTGGGCCCCCGTGAAGCAGGGTTTTAACGTATGTTTGGACTTTTTGAGCACAGACTTTGAACATCATCCTTTTCTCAATTGGACAAAACTTGATTTCTTTGCAGTTCCTTCTTTATAAGACGGGGCGACATAAACTGGGTTCTGGAAGCTAATGACATAGTTCTATGTGTTACTTGAAATGCTATGCAAAAACGAGCGCATTTAAGTAAATAATATTTCCATCAGCGGAACACTAAAGACTAACCTGCCTTAATGATGTATTAGAAGGCACTACACTTGCTCTGCGTTAACATTTCCAGAGTAATTACTTGTTGTAGGGTTGCCAACTGGCCTTAGATCAGCTAGACATTTTCAGACAGGTTTTTCACCTCAATCAAAGCACATCAGCACTGAAGTGCAACATTAATCCTTCACTATATTTCCCTAGGCATCATTAAAACAAATCCACACTATTGTTAAATGGAAGAAAAAATGTTATATTTCACAGTATATAAACAGTATAGTGTATACACAGTTTATTAGATATTTAGATTTGCAGTATGTCTTATTTTACTGCACTTTTATTTAAAGTTTATAAACTTGGCTTTGGCCTTTGTTAATTAACTCTCCTAGATGTCAGTAATGCTGATCAGCTGTTCAGATCATCTGAAAGATTTTGTTGACAAAAAGAATAAACCAATGATGTAACTTGTTTCAGTCCTTTCTCAAAAAGTCTGGCTGATCTGGAGCCAGTTCGGAAACCCTCATCTGTTGCTATCTTGGACAGTTAAAGTCTCATTGCTTTTCTGCCTCAACAAAACAGTCACCTGACTAACGAAAGCATTAATGCAATTCTAATGCACTATGAAATCCTACTGTAATAGAACACAGGCCATGCTCAGAAGGGGTTAGCCTTTTTCTATAGCGTCAACCCTTCTGAGGGATCTCTGCTTTGTACTGGAGGCATTCAGCATAACAATAGAGTAAGAAAATGGGAACAAAAAAAGTTACAAGCAAGGGGAGGCCATTTGGTTTGTTAGTATTTTCCTGGTCCAACACTTCTGCCATTTCTTAAGTGTTACTATTGAGTCAACATACTGGTACGTAAATGTAGACTACCACAAATCTCCATGTAAAGAAATGTCTTCATTCTTGAATACTCTGAATGTAATCCCCACTTATACAGCTGTGGATCTTGATGAGGCACTCTTGGTAAATTATCAATTTCTTTCTTGTTCCTGGCTAATAAGATTTGGGTTCAATGCATAGTCTGTCTGCATGAGAGACATTAAAAATTAGGCTTGCTCTTGCGCACACACACACACACACTGCACTTTCCAGTTCAACGACACCCATTTTAGACTTGCAAAACACACTCCAGTTTGCTGCATGCATAACCACAAATCAGGATGGCCGAGTGATCTAAGGCTCAGTGTCTGAGTCTTGGTCTCTTCCGGAGGCATTGTTTCAAATGTGAGTCCTGATATTCTCACAGCTCAGTTTTACCTTACATTTATTATCATTACATTTCATTTGCCAGGTATCTCAATAGCCTGGAATCTCAACTCTTGCACTGCTTGTCCTGCGGATGCAGTATTTCCAGCTCCACCCATTTTTGCATTATGTGCAAATGTAGCACCATTATAGACTATACCCGAGTCTAGACCATTGAGCTATTCATCACTCAAGCTATTTAATATCTTTAATTCACCGGCTTGTTGATTTAGACTTTTGTTGACCTGTTTCTGCACTCAGTCCTTGGCTTCAAAAAGTCAACTATCAATGCTGGGATTGGGGATTACACATCCCAAACTTTGTAAGGACCTTAAAGCACATTTTAAAATAGTCCCCCAAAACAGAAATCCCAAATAAATTCACCTGGGATTAAGAACCCAACTTTTAAAAACAACAAAAGAAATGGGAACCCCCATGAGCAGGCTTGGGAACTACTGCGGTTAAATTGGGGAAAAATACAGTGATCCCCATAGTAGCTCTCTTTAAAACCCCTATTTCTGCACTATGAATAACATTTTCATTCATGCACAGCACCATGATTTCCCACATTTGGTTTGAGCAGAAATCTCTCATGCATCAAAAGATTTCTGAAATTCCATTTATTCAGTTTAAAAATATATATTAGGTCACACCCTTGAGTTACCCATGTGAGCAGTAATTTTCTCAAAGAAATCTAAATGATCTAACAACCTAACGTAATAGAAAAGGGCTAATTAGGCCACGTTAACTTCATAGTCCATGCTCAACTCAAGAGTGTTTTTTTTATTTTAAGTTTAAATTATGTTTTAGAATTCTGCCTGTAATCAAGCTAAAGACTGATCAGTTTGTAAATTACTTGCTGCATTTTGTCCCTCCCTTCTCTGAACAGGTATTACATTTGCAAATCTCCAATCAGTAGTCACATTCCCTGCCCTCAGTGTCAAATGAATTATACAAATTGCCTGAATCAGTCGCTTATTAGGATAATTTACCCTTTAACATGTCATGCTTACACTGGAAATCATTCAGAACTGAATGAGACAGCCTTTTTACCTGTGACATGTTATCCTAAATATCCTATTCCCACTTGTATCCCTAAAAGAATTAACTTCCAGATTTAAAGTGAATAAAAATGTAAAAAACATTGATTGCATGCATTGATTTTAGTCGGTTTTTAATGGTTTACACTGATATCTATTCATCAGTAATTCTACTGTTACAGGCAACACACCTAATTTAGTTGGAGTGGCTGGAGCGAAGAAGAAAAAAGGAAAGAAAACAACAGGCATGTTTCGGTCTCAAAAAGATGAAGTATAAATGATCAGGCACAACAGAGTTCAAAGCTGGCTCTGTGTGAGCTGGTGTTGAGGAGAAAATGAACTATTCCTTTTCCATTGGTGTGCGTGAAGTGCTTACTGTCATCACAACTAGTACTGCTTATAATTTCAACCGACAGCTTCTTTGGAAACTGTAGTACATGAAATGTGTATTCTTGTTCCAAGTCAAATACTTGGAAGTTCACATCATCGTCACTTCTTTGCATTCATTACATGGCCTGCTCGTCTCTTACACAGCTATGACAGGCCCCTAACCACAATCACACCAAAACTCCCTGCAATGAAAGGCAAATGTATTGGCTTCAACGCACAAGAGGACTTCCTGCTTCAATTGATTGATTTGACACACCTTTACTGGCATTTTCTAAAACAGTGTGTTGAGTGTGCTGGTACAGGCCTTCGATGGGATACAGCTCACAAATGCACTTTTAACAGGACAGTTGTAAACAGCCTACTGGTACTTGTGTGCAATATGTTACACGTTGAAAGGTTTGTTAGCTTAGGGACCCAGTCAGCCCAAGCCAGGGCAGCAGCTTGCTTCACATTCTGCAATAGGAGGAAATACAGCCTTGAGCTCTGCAGCTCCACGTGTGCCTGTTTGATGTTTATTCACTCATTTCAAAGCAGCCCGTTGTGTAGTATATGTGAGGAGTCATGCAGCCGCTTAATTGTTTTCTGCATGATGCAGTTCTCTGAAACAGACACTCTTGTATGCCAGGGACAGAAATTGGTTGGGTTTTCACAGAGCGCGACCAACCCTAGGCAGCCATTGAAAAACGTAAGGAAATTAATCTTAAATTAAAATCAAGTCAGTCCAAAGCCAGGTATTTGTCACTGTCTTCTGACACTGCGAGTGAAATCTTTTCAAGTTGTCATTTATGGCCTTAAGGGAAGACCAGAGAGTAAGACAACATGGTTTCAAGGATTATTGTACTGCTTCTGGGGGACTAGCTTTGTAAAGGTTTCACTGAGAAGCAGGGTTAAAAAACAGTACGAACTAAACTAAAATTATTTGTCCTACACTAAAAAAAAATCAATCTGTATTTTGAGCTAGACAAAATTGTATAACTTATAATTTATACATTTTATAATTGAAATGAAATGTACGTTACTGAACTAATAATTCCAATTATCTGAAACAAATCTAACACTGACAATTAATATCATACATAAATAATTCCAAAACATCATAATCAAATCGTAACAGAAAAGCAATCCCATTTGCCCATCCATTAGTCGTGAACAGTATCTCCAACAGAAATAAATGTTGTCACGTTGGGTAGTAGTAAAAATGTTTTCTTGCTCACACTGGTGGCAGACAGGAGATTCATGAGAATGAAGCCTGAGCTCAAACATTCAGGACCAGCAGCTTGCTGAAATAACTCCATTCCAAACCCAGTAAATACTCGTGTCAGCAGTACGATCACAAACTCAATCATGTCCTGAGCAGGCAGGGTCATAAAACTGAGAGTCAGCTATGATTTCATGCGCTTTACAATATATTTGATGACCCATATGGGCTAATTTTATGTAACGAGCGACAATATAAAGCGATTAATAAATGGTTATTTAGTTATAAAATCAATCCTGAGTTACCATAATTACATAGACAATTTATATGTTCATATTAAGGATTTTCTTAGTCTCCCCAGAACTGCTTTACTGCATTTCATCTGCATGAAAGACTAAGACAAAACACAGTCTCCAAAGCTGGGTTTCTGTTTCCTGAACCTGAGGACTTGGTATACATTTACTAAATCTCAGATTCAATAAATTAAAAATGTAATATACCCACTGGCCAAAATATTAGGAGCAACTAGTCAATAGATCAGGGTTGATCCAATAAG